GTTAACAACAACAACAACACTCAGTGTTAACAACAACAACAACACTCAGTGTTAACAACAACAACAACACTCAGTGTTAACAACAACAACACTCAGTGTTAACAACAACAACAACACAACAAGCACTCAGTGTTAACAACAACAACACAACAAGCACTCAGTGTTAACAACTGCAACACAACAAGCACTCAGTGTTAACAAAAGCAACACAACAAGCACTCAGTGTTAACAACAACAACACAACAAGCACTCAGTTTTAACAACAACAACACAACAAACACTCAGTGTTAACAACAACAACAACACAACAAACACTCAGTGTTAACAACAACAAAAACAAACAAGCTCCTGACAAAACATCTGTTTGTGGGTTTTTGAACTAACTTTTAGCATTGTGAACACATTTTGTAGTTTTTGAAGTAAAACAGATCAGATTCAGGTTTTGTTGAGGATGTTTGTGAGTCTGTGTGTTGTTACCGTGGACGCCAGCATGGAGCCTCCAAACCAGACTGCATAACGCTGCATGTGATGCGTGACCACCTGAACCTCGAGCGGCTTCGGCTACAAACCAGAGACAACACATTCACGTCTGTCATTATTTCATGTAATGAGTAAAAAACAAAGTACACCTGAGGTGGGTTTTACCTGCAGCAGTGGACTGYCAGYACCAAGTTCTAATGTGTTTTCTATACCAGCTTGTGCTTGTCACTTCAGCAGGTGTTTGTAATGAGGGAACTGTGTCAGAATATGACAATTTGAAAACATGTAGTTTGAAGAGAGTTTTTTGTTAAAGCWGCAGTGACTGGGATTTGAACCCTGATCATGTGCATGAAAGACTGGAGCTGTGGCATAATGCACTCCCAGGGCTTCATTTGTATGTGTGTAGAAATATGCAGCATCAATGACCATCGTTTACATAAAACTGCAATATTACAACAATAGAGCAATATAAGGACAATATTATAGTAAAACATCAACATACGAACATTAGTATTGTAATCACTGAACTACTGAGTTTAAATAGTATTAAAATATTGAAGAAATTTATAGTTATTACAGGTTAGTACTGATGTTAGAAGCACAACACTAGATTTTTAGGTTTTCCTTTGTATAATGTTTGATCTATCATGTGTTGACTGATATAGAGTAGTAACATGTCCGAATTATAAACAACACATAATTGAAACGTTATTATAACATTAGATTGAGACTTTTGTCTGAATGCCTGTGATTCAGCTGTAGGTCAGTAGGGGGCGAACTCAGGCATTGAAGAACATGTATYAATTGATGCACTTCCTGGCTTTTGGCCASTGTGGTTTCCTGTCAGCTATGTGGCAATAAACCTCACTCGGTTCCAGAATTCTGGTGTTGTATGGTTTGATTCATTCTAAAAATCATTTTATTTAACAGTTATGGTTTTCATATTGARTTGACTTCAGTCTATTGAACACATAATTTTCTTACAATATGGTGAAGAACCAAGCTCAGCAGATTAAGCAGGGGGCAGTATTGGACCAATACAAGGCTCCACTGACACCCATTATACGATTGTAAATATTAATATTTCAAAAACTATAAGTTGTACAGGCACCAAAAGGCATAGCCATCATTTGGCACAGGAGCTTTACAGAAATYAATTACAGTGGCAGATGTAGGATAAAGTATGCAGGAGGAGAAGCGTGCTGAGGTGGAAGATGACTTGGATGACTAACTTCTTAAGTCCCAGAGGTTTTTCTTGAAGTTTTTTCTCTAAATGCTGAAATGTAACTGAGTGTATGTCAGCATTTARAAACTATACTTAAATAATCTTAGTATCAAAATAAAGCAACACTTAGGAGATTTCATCAGAAGTGTAAGTGTTAAAACAGCTGCTGTGGTTTTAGACATTTTGAGGATGGAACTCTTTTTCACTCTCACCTGGATAATGTTTTCATTAGACAGTATATAACCATTTTAAACCATAATGAATCAGGTAAAAACTCTTGGAAACCATAAATCCACCTGTGGACARCACCTGTYCAAAGATTCATGCTGCTAAAYTGAACTGGATCAAAGTTCCAGAGGTTTTAGTAAAGTAATAATTTAGTGTTTGGTCATTCTGAACAGGACAGACCATGATGGTTCRYTTAATAAATGTGACCTGATGGAGTCCAGGGTTTCTGTCTGACCTTTATCCGTCCTCCACTCAGCTCTTCACTCAGCCTCAGCCGGGCGTCCACCACTCTCTTTAGGTCTCTCTGCAGCCGCCGCCCGAAGTCCCTGAACATGGTAGAACCTCCAGAGAGGACGATGTTCTGTCACACAGAAACAACGGTCCACATTCAGCCAGGTTACCTCAGAGKTGATGTGGATCCAGGGGAACCTGGAGGTCCATCCCAGAAACACAAACACTGATAAAACGTCTAATTAAAGATAAAATGTAATAAAACAGTTGGTGATAATGTAATGGATATAACTGCAGTTATAGACACTAACTTATCAGATGGAGCCCCCTCCTCAAATATGGGGTCCATCTTAAAACTGTTGGTCTGGTGCAGTGTAGGTTGAACACATCCTGCTGATTGGTGCACTCTTTATGAGCTACGGTTGACTAAAGATCTCTGAAAAAATAAATAAACAGTCTGAAAACAATATGTCCCCCACTTCCTGTGCAAAAATAAAAATAATAAGTAGAAGGACGTTTATGTTGATGTTGTCAACAGAGCATATGATGTGTTTGTGGGAGCTCTGTATGAAAGGAATTATATGCAAAGAGAAAAGTTATTGACAAACCATGGATGACCAAAGGGATGAGAACGCTTGTAAAAAAGAACTACTTGTARAKAWGCTTCTTGAAATTAAGAACAAAAGAATCAGAAGAGAGATACAAAAATATAAAAACAAGTTGGTATGGATTATAAGAAAGCATAAGATGAAATGTTACTGTGACTTAATAAACAAAASCAAGGGTGATATGAAAGAAACGTTTGGAAAAATAAAGTGTGATTGGGTATTTCACAGTATTTTGTAAAGGATGACATCATATTGATAAGACACACCGACTCTCATTCTCTGTTTAAGGCTGCAATGATCAGAAAATGTAAAATACAAGACTGGATCTAACATTCATGTCACCAGTCACAACTTTTACTTCAGATTATTGGTAGAAAGTCCTGTGGCCATCCAACAAGAATATTATTTCATCAGTTGAAATGACCAAAATGTTATGATTTAGTTCATTCTAATATTTTACAGGTTATGTATAAATCTCACAAAATATCTTACCTTTAAACATTCCAATCAAAATTTATTAAGAGAGAGAGTTGCTACAACCTTAAAGCAAGTGAGATTTTTTAAGCACAATTTCAAAACACTTTAAAGGAAACAAGTCCTTTAATTCAAGGAATACGACTGGAATAATCCTGAGCTTGATGTTAAAACTCCTGCAAACATTTGTATATTTAAGAGAATGATAAAAATATGTAATGTGTGTGGTGACATGAATTGTTGGGAAGGACCTGATATTGTTTTTTATTTAAATTTTATTTTTGGGGGGAAATAAGGTCAGATATAATGAGATATTTTTTTCATTTATGGCTTGTGTTTTATTTTTATTGTATATAAATTTTCTTTTTGTTTTAATGAATGAATGAATTAATAAATACATACATTTTTATTTACAGTTATTTAACCAGGTGGAAACATTTAACCTGAAGGCAACATATTGACCATATTTTTGTGTAGTGGAGGAAACCGGAGAAAACCCATGGAAGCACGAGGAGAACATGCAGACTCCACACAGAAAGACCCCAGGTTCAATCTGGGGATCAAACCAGGACCTTGTTGCTGTGAGTCATCAGTGCTAACCACTGATCCATCATGCTGCTAAATAAATAAATAAATTAGAGTACATCTATCTGTGTTTTCACCGATGACACTTGTTAGGCTCACCTTGTAGAGAGGCCTTCTCACGTCGATTGGACAGCTCTGGATGACCTCATCAATGACATCAGAGATTGGCTGCATGAAGTCTGGGTTAGCAAACTAAAAACACACATACATGACATTTAATTCTATTTACAGGATGTCAATTATAACTAAATCTTATGACAACAATCAGTTTTTAACTTTAAATTAGGCAAGAAAGTTCAACCTGTGAAACAGCTGTGGGGTTCCTCAGGGCCCCATGATTGGCCCCTTAGAGTTTTTATTTAAACCTGATGAGTTAATGGTTGCTTCTACACTGTGTTCATGTTTTWATCTGAAGTCACCAGAGCACAGAGGAAACACCAGCTGTGTTGTCACCTCAGGGTGGAAGAAGATTTCAGGTCCCAGGAAGCGTTCATAGCCCACTTCGATGTGAAAGGCAGTCTTATTGACAGCATTGATTCCTCTGTACTGTTTGATCCACTTCCCTGGATCCGAATCGTACTTGGTGAACTCCTTCACAATGTCAGGACAGATGTAACAGTACCGTTCCTACACACACAAACAATATAAACACAAAAACCACTGAAGACAACACTGAGAAGAAGCAACAAAAGAAGAGGTGAGGGGCATTTGCTACCTTGACGGCTTTGGCAGTCTCCAGTGACTGCTCCGGAGGAATCCCAACCTCTCTGTCTCTAAGCAGCTGCTGGATGAAGAAGGTGATGTCTCGCCCTGCTATAGGGATGTGTTTTATACAGCTGCCAATCACATAGCCCTCAGCCTGCGACAGACATCCAGTCAGTGAGCAGCCTCCATCCTACAGCTGGTAGGTTTAACATCTGTAACTCACCACAGGGATGGCGTGAGTCACTCCGTCTCCACTGTCGATAACGATCCCTGTCAGAGTCCTCTGACCCACCTGCCTGGACGTCCARGACGCTGCTAAGGCCAGCACCGCCTGACAGAGGGACACACTTTACTCAAGGAGGTCTGGACTGTCCTGAATCCTGTTTATGGACACCTGAGAGGCTCTGAAGGATGCATGTGTCTATCTCACCTGGACTGCAATGTAAAGTCCAGGTATGTTGAAAGTCTCAAACATGATCTCAGCCAGGTATTCTCTGTTCTCTGGTGTGTTGAGAGGAGGTTCTGTCTGCACAGAGGAACATGAAGACGCAAACTTCAAAACACAAAAAAATCACATTGCTTCTTGAATACCAGTTCCAACCCCAGCCAAACTCATCCCCAACTCTGATCCAGCAGGTCTGGATACTCTGAGYATATATTCTACATTTTCATGGAAGTAAATACTTTAAGACCTTCTCAAAATCTACCAAGCCTGCCCAGTTCAGGTACCTCTGAACCCAAAACTTGCACTGTTATAAKATTAAAATGACATCTCTAATCATAGACTCATCAACGATCTCTAGATCTCCTGAAAGACATTCCCACTTTTTATGAAAACATCRACAACCACCAGAGTAATAAACCTTGTAAAAAAATAAAGTTCTGAAGACCGAGTTTCTATTTTAGGTCTGGAACCTCTTCCAGCACTTTGATAATAATCAAACCTATCTGAAAACCTTTCCAAGGACTTAGAAAACCTGAAGCTATATCCTGGACTAAGATGTTTCAATTGAACCCATGAAGACTCGTGGTAACACTGGTGTCACCGTGAAGACTCGTGGTAACACTGGTGTCACCGTGGGTCTTTGGGTTTAATCATGAAAGTTGAAACGAGTCCAGGATCTAAAGCAGTGGTGTCCAAAGTCGGTTCTCAAGGGCCGGTGTCTTGCATGTTTTAGGTGTTGCCCTGGTTCAACACAGCTGAACCTAAGTAGTGCTTCATTAGTGGGCCTCTGCAGACCTTGATGGCAAACTGAGAAGGTCAATCATCTATTTGAATCAGCTGTGTGGAAGCAGGGACAAATCTAAAACTTYCAYYAGACCAGCCCTTGACCGGAGTTGGACACGCCTGACCTAAAGTGTTAGTCCTGTAAATGATCTTCATCAAGAACTCCAACAAATCAAACCTACAACAAATTTAGGAAGTTGAGAAAACTTCTACATAAAATTTTGTGTAATATTTTGTTGAATTTCAGAACTTCTTTGAGAAAAATGAAGGTCCCTGTGACATATGAAGTACCACCAATCTGAGTTTAGAACTTTGAAACATCTACAAGGAGCTCTAGAACATTCTCACCCTGAAAAGGCTTAAATGGTCCTTGCACTTCCTGGTCCACGAGAATCCCAGAGACTAAGAAAATCCATCCAAAAATTTGTAAAACTCAATTATGGACTTTAAGTCTTAAACCAGTGAAATGTTTCAATGTTTTCTAATCCAGAACTCATTGTGTATTTGACCCAAAGGTAACTGTAGAAACAGTACTGAGACCTGAGACCCAGTCTCCACCTGTAGACCAGAAAAMAATACATAAACACTGTGTACCATGAGGAAGCTGTGGTCCTCAGGTTCAGCCCGCAGGTACTTGAAAATGACCTGTTCCATGAATTTTTCCATCAGATCCCAGTCCTCCACCATCCCATGGCGGATAGGCCACTAAACAACAAACCAACAACATGGTTACTTTACCTCCTTTAATCCAGATACACCTTCATCTTCCACCTGTTTCTCCTCCTTCTACCTTGGTTGCATAGTTGGGTTTATCTAAAGCTTCATCTCCAATGTAGAAGTCCAGGTCGTCGACTCCTCGTACGAGTCTCCTTTGGGCCTGATCACCGACACTGGCCGACTCCTTGATGGCGATGCCTGATGGATGCCAAATTCATGAACTAATAACTATGACTCTTCAGACAGGTTTGGACTGAGAGGTCAAAGGTCAAKAGGACAGAAACTATCAGCTCTAACAGCTGACAGATTCAGAGATGTGTGGAGGTCTTGTGTGGGATTCTTACAAGACGGCATGATGAACTGTGGCTCCGTGTTTCCTGCATATCCGATCTTTGTGTACCTAAAACCAGACAGAAGGTTCTGTTAGACAGACAATACTACACCAACAGATACCGATAATCCATCAATACTACACCAACAGATACAACAATCCATCAATACTACACCAACAGATACCGATAATCCATCAATACTACATCAACAGATACCGATAATCCATCAATACTACACCAACAGATACAACAATCCATCAATACTACACCAACAGATACCGATAATCCATCAATACTACACCAACAGATACCGATAATCCATCAATACTACACCAACAGATAT